TACCTTTGCATTTATATTTTTGTGCATGTCTGGAGTTCCCTATTGGATTGCGCTCTAGAGTATTACTCTCCTCCCTGGGGAGGAGCTAAGTGGGTTCTCCTTAGAGCTGAACTAGCTCCATGTTTGGCAATGGAATGTCATAATCGAGGCCACTTAAACAGTGGTCTCAGTAGTCCAGTTCCTGAGCCATATGAGCCTGCAGAACTTCAGGGTACTTCTGATGGCAGCAAGGCCAGCCTGGCTCAGGACTTGGAAGGCAGGATTGGGAAGGACAGACCAGTCACTGGGGGCATGGACTCTTCCCACTCAGCTCCTGATAACTCTGCAAGCCAAAACCATAAAGGGTAGGGTGGTGTAGTCCGAGCTGGATAAACAGCTGGTTAGACTCCAGCAGTTATCTCAACACACTCTCTGCGGTCCCCAAGCCTTGGTTCTCTCCAAACTTCGCCTAATACTTTCCAGAATTAGGTGAACAGGATGATCCCCTCCAGGGAGCGTGGGAGCATTCTATTCCAAAAAAATTCTCCTGAATTTTCTTGTGTAGGTGGGATGCATGGAATTCCCAGTTTGGTTTGGATACTTTTAAGCCTAGTGATGGTTTCTGCGTGTGTCAAAACATGGCTGACCGGAAAAATGGTTGCACTCTGCCTACCTAATTCCAGAAAATGTGTGGAGGTTGGCAGAGTACTGTGGCAAACTACCTAATGCTTAACCAGGTAGGGTCACATTACCTTTGGGCTTTGGTTTGAAGCTAGTTCCAAGATGAAAAATTCTTGTTTTCACTTCTTTCCTCAGCTGCTGGTCAGTTGTAGGACGAACAGGAAGTAAACAGCAAGTGTCACTCGAACGACCTAGTTGTGTACACCATGCTGTCATACAACATGAAGTGATGCACGTATTGGGTTTCGAACATGAACATTCCAGAAGTGACCGTGATAACTATATAAGAATCATGAAGGAGAACATTAAGGATGGTATGTAAATGTAACATATTACCACAGTTTCTGGACTTACAGTGTATGCTCTGCACTTGCAGTGTGTAATAATAATACTAAATTTGGTATTACGTCTTTCACATTAGGAGGACACACAATGTGTGCTTTGTTGGTGAATGCAGCAGCTAAATTGTACCTACAGTGTCACACAAACAGCCAGATTTTATTTATGGGATTGTTCAGGACATCAGGAAGAAGTCCCTTATCTTTTTGACTGGTGTCATGGGATCTTTAATGTTCACTTCAACAGGCCGGGACCTTGGTTTGACATCTCATCTGAAGGATAACACCTCCAACAATGCACCACATTCCCAGTACTGCACCGGAGTGTCACCTGAGACTCTATGAAGTCCTGCGTGGAGCATAAATTCACAACCTTCTGATTTAGAGGCGGAGTACTAACAACCAATCCAGGCCAACACAGCAAAGTCTGGGCTCCAGGCTATGTATGAATGGCAGCCCTTGGAAGTATAAAAGCTGCAAAGGTATATGCCCCACTCTCTCTCAGCTCAGGGACAGGGCCAAGGAAAGTTTTGCAGGCTACATGACCAGAATAAAGAAGGGAAGCCTATATGTGCAGGGGGCATGTGAGGTGGGTGTAGCCAAACTGTGCCTAATACTTCCTGTGATTAAGTGAGCAGGATGCATCCCTCCAGGGAGAGAGTGAGTATGCATTCCCATTCCAATTGACATCTCTTAAATTTTTATGCATAGTTGGGATGCGTGGAACTCTGTCTGGTTTCGACACTCTTAAGCATGGTGATGGATTTCCGCATGTGTCGGATGCCGGCTGGCCAAAAGAATAAACCAAGCATTTGAGGAAGTAACTTGTATTATACTTTAATAATAATTATCCTTCCTCGCATTTTGCATCTGATATAGCGTCTTACCACATCTTCAGTATGTCTCAAAGCACTTCACAGAATATGCTGTAAAATGAATTAACTATATTTTGTGGACGAACGCGGCAGCCAATTGCATAGCAATGTCCCACAGACAGTCATGGATTGAGTGACCAAATTATTATTAGTTATTTATTTTTAAGTGATTATTATCCTTGGAAAAGCGATCCACTAATCGATTAACAACCTGGTTCCTAGGTAAACAGAGACGTGTGGAGTAAGGAAACTTGCTGAACCCAGGAATCGCACCCAGGTCCTCTCGCTTGCAAGGCAAGGGCTCTAACCACTAAGACTCCATACACTGATTAATTCTGGGATGTTATTTTTACAGGTCGGCTGGAAAATTTTGTAAAAATGAGGACCAATAACATGAAGACACCATATGATTACCTTTCAGTTATGCATTATGGCAAGTAAGTATAAGATCACCTGTTTATATTGTACAGTAAGCAAGCAATACAGCACAATTATGTTTTGAGACTATTATACAGTATTTTATTATTGTCTTGAAAATTTGAATTCTACAGAATTATTCCTAGAATGAACACTAGGCATGTTGGTGGTAGGTAATTGTATTTTGCAGAAGGAAATTGGCATCTTTTATACTGGGTTGTGAGCAAATTAATTTGTGAACTTAAAAAAAACTTTTGAACAAGATAAAATACCTAGCGCAGTGATAAATTGGAAGGCATATAAAGGAACCAAAGAAGTGAAAGTTCCATCTACTAAAGGCCCAGTCATATGAGAATAGATATTCAAATCCCAAGTTGTATTCTAAAGCCTTATGCCTGCAATATAATGTTAAAATGACAGGTTAAAAGGTTGTTCAGTTTCTGAGCCACATGGGCAGCCAGAAGTCATTAGCTAGTAGTGAGATGCTATGGATAAATAGGAAGCTGAGGATAAACTGAATCTGAGGGAAAAAACATGAAAATTAGAAAACATAACTGAGAAGAAAATAAAAGTGAATATAATAATGATCCTTGCATTCGATATAGCACCTGATCACATCTTCAAAATGTCAGAAAGTGCTTCACAGAATATACTGTAAAGTGAACTGACTGTATATTTTGTGGAAAGAAACGCAGCAGCCAATTGCGTAGAGCAGTGTCCCACAAGCAGTCGTGGATTGAGTGATTAATTTTTTTTGAAGGGATTATTACCTACAACATCCATTTGCATTTATATAGCACAAAAAGAAGGATCAGACTATGAGGGGAGAGGAGGAAGGGATTAGTCAAAGAGATAGGTTTTAAGGCAGGATTTAATGATAACTTTACGAAAGCGATTAGATTGACCAAGAGGTTGAATTACTGGGAAACTTTATATAAATAGTAAGGTAGATACAATCGCCTTCCAAAAAGTGTTTTCTACAACAAGCGGAAAGACAGCAAGGTAGGTAGAAATTAAGTTGAAATGAGAAATAGTTTGTAATTAATTCTTTTTGCTATTTATTGCAGGACTTATTTTAGTAAGAATGACCAGCCTACAATGGTAGCAATATCAGATCCAAGTTTGAAACTTGGACAAACCATTGGTATTACTGAGATTGATGTTCTAAAGCTTAACAGATTTTATAATTGCAGTAAGTGTAATGTGCAAATATATCTGTGTGAGTTGCAATAATATTCACTTAATAATTAGTGAAATACAATTTGTGCGCTCCATCCAAAAGATAAAAATTAGCTGACTTCACTTAGTAATTAAGGGAAGAGTACTAAAATTCTGACACAAGATAGAATATCATTGATAAATTCTGGTAAAGTGAGACTGCAGGATGATATACGCAGGGCCAGTGCAATTCAAGAAGAAAACTAAAATTGTTTTGTAATACATTTTTGTAATAAGCATGAGGAAATTAAATGCATCTTTAAATAGTAACATTGTAAATGGAATCAATAATAATAATCCTTGCATTTGATGAGATGTCTAAAAGCACTTCACAGAATATACTGTAAAGAGAATTGACTATATTTTGTGGGCAAAACGCGGCAGTTAATTGTGCAAAGCAGTGTCTCACAAACAGTTGTGAAATGAGTGACCATATTCTTACTGTTTTTTATTCTTATTGTTTTATTAGCGTCATCATAGCACTATTTTCAATATTTCAGAACCGTTATGTTCAAAACTAATGCTCGGGAGCACTGCAACTTTCACCACTCCAAATTATCCAGACCTTTATCCAAATAAAGCTGACTGCAAATGGTCAATTAAGTTACCTCGGAGAAAGAAGGTATGTCTGGTTCTGCGAACTTGCTGTGCAAAATGGCTGCAACATTTACCTAAAAAATAACTACCCTTGAGAGTAATACCTGCAAAGTCCTTTTAGACTTTGATTTTGATGTGATAAGATGCTATTATCAGTTATTTGTTGTCATTGCACATGTATGTAGGCTTGTGCTTGCAATTTGTATCTTTTAGAATGCATTTTGTTTTATTATTCATCTCGTGCATGTCTAGCTTCCTTTTGCTGCTTATCCTGCTCTATCTACTTTAGCCTTTATACTTAGTCCACTGCAAGTTTCCTTCATGCTTCACAGAAGTTTTTGGCTTTTGCAATTAGTATTCCTTAGCATGTTATTTTGTCTCTATCTTATTTGTCTCTGGCATGTGTGGCTTTGCTCTTACTGCTTGCTCTGGTTCTTGTTTATTTACTGTAGCCTTTCTACATGGGTAGGTGGCCACCAAAGCCTACCAAGACTATATTATTCTTAGCTATTGAGGTCCTTACATTTGCTGATCTTTCAATTATGATAATCTGTAATGATAAGCGATGCCATCCAATGTGAAAGGCACTATATAAACTGCTGAACGCAGTGGGCTTCCATGTTTCGGCCAGAAAATACAGTCAATTCATTTTATAGTATATTCTGTAAAGTGCTTTAAGATGTCTCGAAGATGTAATAAGATGCTATAAAATGCAAGGATCATTATTGTATGTAAATAATATTGTATTAGACAACTTGCTTGAGCTGGTTATTTGCTTTATATTACAGATTCTGCTACAATTCGCTTCATATCAAATACAACCATTTCTAAACTGCTATGGTGACCAAGTAACGGTTTATGATGGTTCTGATTTCCATGCACCCATCCTCTTTGGACCAGATTGTGGTGCAGAGAAGCCCCTCCTGATCTCCAAACAAAATAAAATGTTTATTATGTTTCGGTCGACAAGGAAATCAAGAGCAACTGGTTTCAGTGCTACATATAAAACACGTAATATTGTCTTGAAATTAGGACTGACTTTCTTGATTTTTTTATATCGACTTTAAACTGCTGTCATCACTCCCCTCCTCAAAACCTTCCCTCGATCCCTCAAACCCCACCACTACCACCCTATTTCACTGCCACCGCCCTTCCTCGCAAAAGTTCTAGAACGCATTGTTGCCAATCGACTCTGCGCACACCTCCTCCCACTCCCTCTTCGAACCTCTCCAGTCCGATTTCCACCCTCCACAGTACAGAGATTGCACTTGGTCCATGCCTTTGTCAGCTCTCGGCTGGACTATTCAAACGCCCTCCTCGCCGGTCTCCCCTCGACTACCATTCATAAAATCCAGGTCATACAAAACTCTGCCACCCACATTCTCACCCGCACCAAACTTCACTCCCCGATCACCCCAGTCCTAAGTAGACTGCACTGGCTGCCTGTCCCAGAGAAAATCAACTTCAAGATCCTCACCCTTGTCTTCAAATCCCTCTACTCCTCTGCACCCTCTGACCTCTCTCCTCACAACAGTGCCGTTGCCTCCGCTCCACCGGGTCTGGCCTCCTCCTTGTCCCCCGAATCCTCCGTTCCACCATCAGCGGCTGTGCCTTCAGCCATTACGCCCCGAGGCTCTGGAACTCCCTTCGCCTCGTCCCCTCTCTTCCCACTTTCAGGTCTCGGCTGAAGTCCTTTTTGACTGTGCCTCTGGTCACCTTCCTCCCTCTCCCCCTGGCTCGGGCCCGGGATCCGTTATTGTCAAGCCCTCTGAGACGCCGTCCAGCGTGGAGGGCGCGATATAAGTCCAACTTTTATTTTTAGGGATTTATATAACAAGAAACATTTTTTATTTTTCAGTTTCCTTCTGTGCGGCTATGATGACGAATACCAAAGATGAAATAAGATATGGCCGTTTTTTGACCCTACCATATGACGACCATTGTACTTGGGTTGTGTTGTCACCGAGAGCACATTTGGTATGTGAATACTGGGGAAAAAGCTATGTTGCAATTCTTCTTTACAATGAAAACAGCAGAGTTTTGTTTGATGCAAAATGAATCTATCAGGAGCAGATTATTAAGAATATTAAATGTGTGTTACATAAAGCACATTGCATAATAGATTGTTAGTGCTTAATTAGGGATATAGAATATGACCACTTCTGTTATCCTTTTACAGTAACTGATAATTCTGGGTACATTGCAGGTAGGAACCTAAGAGGAGTAGAGAAGCAGAGAGATCTGGGGATTAAGATCCATAAATCTCTCAAAGTAGCCACACAGGTAGATTAGGCTGTATTTAAAAAAAAAAGGTCAATCCGTTTGGGCTTTATATCGAGAGGGATAGAATATAAAAATAATGGGATGAAGTTGAATTTGTACAAGATCTTGCTTGGACCACATTTGGAGCAGGATTCATCCCTCCAGGGAGAGAGCGCACATTCCATTCCAACAATCTATTTCTGGGATTTTCCGTGTGTAGGTGCGATGCATGGAATTCTCAGTTTGGTTTGGATACCCTTAAGCACGGTAATGAGTTTCCACATGTGTCAGACACTTGGTTGGCCAGAAAGAAACACTATGCAAGGCTGCAGGTCAAAAAAAAGTATTTTCTTCAGAAAGCAGTGTTTCAGCACACAGTGAGGAATTGCCCTGGGCACTTTGCTTTCTTTATTGATTTTATTTAGTGATTTATTGTTAGCTTTAATTGACTTAAATAGATTGTCTTGACCATTCTTTTAATTCATTGATGAATTTGTTAATCACTCGTGATTGTAATGCTTTATCTGTTGCTTTAATACTGGAGTAAAATATTTCATCTTAATATTTGTATTATTAACAGGTAGTCTGGAAATTAACACATTTCTTCATTAAAGAAAGTGAAAACTGTGCAGACGGCTACCTGCGTGTTACTGATACTTCTGGACCAACACCTATCGTGAAAGGAACACTTTGTGGAAAAATTGAAGTCCCATTAAACATAACCAGCTCTGGACGTACGCTGTTATTTAACTACTTTCAGAAAGCACCAGGAATTTCGATTGGTTTTAGAAGTTCCTTTACATTTATTAAAAGTAAGTATTAAAACACACGCATACCTATAGAAATCAATCTTTCATTTTTCTTTATTGTCATATAACAAAGAAAGAAAACCTGGAAACAGTGTTTTTTCAAATAAAACTTCCACCTCACCTTCCACATTACTCAAGATTATGATTAATTTTGGAATATATTTGCTTAATGCTCTCTGATATCTTGCTAACATGTGCATCCTTCATAAATGAGCCTTTTTGAATCCTAAAGGGAGTACCACTATGTTATCTTTGGTTGAGTTTAATTATGTTTAATATTTAATATTATTTAATTAATATTCATTGGCGTTCTATATACTATCTTCCCTGGTGAAGCCTTGAAATTAATCCTTTTTGTTTAAGATAAAAATCATCTGTGAATTCACGATGTCCTAGCCTCAACTATCCTTCCTGAAAACTTGTTCCAGGTGTTAATTCCTCTAAGTAAAGAAAAATCTTCTATGTCCCATCTTAAATTGCGGTTTGTAGCTGTAAGCGTACACCTTTCATATTTTGTTGGCTTGGTGCATCCTACAGTGTTTATCTGGATTGCTTTTTTAATCCCATTTAAAATGTTATGTTCCTTAAAGTGGCCATAAAACAACTGGAAGTTATGAGTGATAACCACTTTGAAGAATTCTGTGACTTTGAACTCAGTCTAGGCTGACATTCTAGTGCAGTGCTGGGGGATTTCTGCATTGTTATTTAAAGCAGAATATTCCCCAAAGACAATATAATCGCACATAGCTTTGAATCATGATACAGTGCCCAATCTGACAGAAGCAGCAAGAATAAAGTTTTTGTACATTTGTTGTTTGACACCAACTGTACATTTTGAATGTTATATAAATGGATACCGCAGCTGGACTAACCAGCTCTGTGTTATTAAGTAAGTTCAATTCTTGAAAATTTTTACAGATCCTAACCCTCCTCGTGTTACCAACAAACCCGCAAGCGAAGGGAATTATCACAATGCTTCTGGTTTGCTGCTTTGCATATTGCTGATATATTCGCAAGCATAATCATTGTGGAAAGACAGCATCTTTCTCATCTCTGGACTTTCCTCTGTTGGAGTCTAGAAAGTGTATCCATCTTTCAACAAAGGTCAGCTAAAAATGTTAAATGGCTATTTGTGTATTTAAGCAAATATGTATTGTGAGCTGCAATATTTGCTTACTGTTTCAATGTTTACCTACGTTAAAATTTCACTATTTATATACCAATCAAATCTAAGTTAAAGCCAGTATTTTGGATGAAATTTAAATAGATTGAAACAAATTGATTTTAAGAAAGGGTAACATAAGTGAAGACTTGCAGAGTTTTTTCAATGCATCCAAAATTCATTATTGCATCAAAATGTTTTGTAATTTTTGAATATATATTCTTATTGTTTTCTCAATATATTCTAAGCTGCATCAGGGTAACTATTGTTGCAAGAAGAAAGATAATTTTGTTGGAAATGTTGATATTGTTTCAATATAATCTTCAAAGGGAATAACTAAATCTTTACTGGAGCCTGTGCTTATCTACACTAATAAAGACAAAATGTCTGTGTCTGTCTATCCTTTCGCCAAGAGCACAATAACCACTTGACATAGAGACATGATTTATAAATTATCAGAAAGGTCTTGCGTTGGGGAGTGTCATGGCCATATTTGTTTTCGGGGATTGTTGATGAGCTATATTTGAAAAATGCTTTAAACCCCAAAATATAAGGTGTGCTTTGTATTCTTTAACAAAATAGCAACAGAAAATCACACACCCTTCTAGAGAGATATCGCTATACTAATAAAGACAAAATTTCTGTTTTTCTGCCAATACTATAAAACACGATTGATCTGAAGAAATGATTTATACCCCATCAGTACATTCTTGCATGGGGTAGTGTCATGGGCCTATTTTTGGGTGGCATCTATCATTACATAAAGTATTAAACAAAGTAAATAGTAAAAACATAAAAGTATAATAGTACTGAAATCTACATTCTATATTGGATCCTTTGGTAGCAAGCGTAGCTGCAACTGGTGTAATCTAATATAAAGTATAATATCAAGTATAATAATCCTCACTAATAAAGATGAAATGTCTGTGTGTCAAGTCAATACTGGAATAACAGATTGATGTAGACATGATTTATACCTTCTGGGAAAGATTTTGCATTGGGGAGTGTCATGGGCATACTTTTTTTCAGGCATCTCCTATCGTTGATGACATACATTTAAAAAATACTTTAATTAAGCCCCAAAATATGAGGAATGCATGGTATTCCACCACAAAAGCGGCAGGAAATCGCACACTGATCTAGCGATATAGGTCTATACTAATATATTCTGCAACAAAGAAACGACAGAAAACTGGGCATTTTTTGCCGCCCACAGCACAGAAACAGCCCCGGTCAGAGCGACAAATGGCATTCTGTCCATCTGCGCCCAGGCTCCCTCTGCCTCCTCGTCCTTCTTGAGCTCTCTGCTGCTTTCGACACCTTCAACTATATCCTCAGCCACCGCCTCTCACCTCAACCTTCATGGTTCTGTCCTTGAATGGTTCGGATTGTACCTCTCACACCGCCTCTGCTTCATCTCCACAAATGGTTTCTCCTCCAGCCCCCGCACCGTCTCGTGTGGTGTTCCTCAGGACTCTGTCCTCGGTCCCCTCCTCTTCAACATCTATATGCTCCCTCTTGGTGACATCATCTGCAGACATGGGGTCAATTCCACATATATGCGGATGACACCCAACTCTACCTCTCCGCCTCCACTGCTGTCCTGACAGAATGTGTGTCACCTCAAGTCCTGGATGAGAGCAAACTTCCTTCAGTTGAACGTCAACAAGACTGAGGCCCTCCTGATTGGCTCCCGTCAGTGCCTCCTCACCTCAGGGCTGACAGCATCACCATCCACGGATGCACACTCCACCTCACTGAGCCAGTCTGGAACCTTGGCTTTTTTTTTATCCTCAACTGTCCTTTCTACCCCACATCTGGGCCATGACCCGTTCTGCCTTCCCCACCTCCGCAACATCGCCCCGGCTCCACCACCCTCGTACACGCTTTCATTACATCGAGATTCCACTATACAAACTCCCTGCTTGTCGGCCCCCAACTCCCCCTCCATAGGCTGCAGATCATCCAGAACTCTGCAGCCCGTGTCCTCTCCCGCACCAGGCTCTGTGACCCTATCACCCCCATCCTCACCTGACTCCACTGATGACTCCCATCACACAGAGGATACAGTTCAAGATCTTGGTCTTCACTTTCAAAGCCCTCTATGGCCTTGCTCCCCCCACCTCTGTGACCTCCTAACCCCCCTACCATCCTGCTCACTCCCACCACTCAGCAGGCTCTGGCCTGCTTCACGTCCCTGCCTCACTTGCACCACTATTGGCAGGCCAGCCTTCTGCCACTCTACCCACACTCTCTGGAACTCCATCCCACAGTCCCTCCACCTCGACTCCACACACGCAGCTCCCTTGCTCCTTCAAGACGCATCTCAAGCTTATCACATGTATATGGTAGTTTTACGTTTTGCGCTGCAGTTATACCTGGTGGCCGCGCCAACTCACAGTGTTACTGTGGCATCATACATCACAGAGCACCTACGTACTCACGCACGCAGCATGCACGCGCTCAGACGAAGCCAAGCAGTGCGAACAAATGCATTGCTCCCACAAATATACGGTCAATTCACTTTACAACATATTCTGTGAAGCGCTTTGAGACGTCTAGAAGACGTGAAAAGCTATATCAAATGCAAGGATCATTATTATTAAGATAAAAGATATCTAAACAAAAATGCCAGACAAAAGGGAGAAGGCTGATTAAATGAAACTGCAGAACAAAGAACAGCACAGCTGACTTCAATGCTGAAAGGACTGCAAGAGCGCGGCAAAATGACTTTCCCGTTCAAAGAACAGCACGGCTGGAATTCAATGCAGAAAGGCATGCAAGAACATGGCAAAATAATGCCCAGCAGCAGAGGTCATTCCATTTAGCTACTCTTAACCATGGTCAAGGCAGAGACTACAAATTAGGTGGCGCCCATCATATTGGGAATATGTTGAACTGCAGAGCCATGAAATGGGCAAAAGAAGTTCGTTCCCTATGTTGCTCGCTTGGCAAATTGAAACCAGAGTGACTCTCAGAGTCAACTGAATGCCAGAAAAGTCTGTTGAATGGTCCATCAAGTGATTGTAAGCATTTTCTAGCACATTTTAGGAAATACGATTTGTGCTTCCAGATGACTTATAGAGGTCTTTAAGAAATGAAAGAGCCAGACTTTATACAAACATTTAAAGTGCAAGGCCAAGTGTATCACTTATCGGGCTCTATAAATGCTTTGCCTAATGAGTCGCCAAAATTCTTACAGATCTACTTCATGACGAACTGAGAAGAATAAGCCACGTGGAAACAATGTTTTGGGGTTGAGCAAAGCTCTCGTACTAAATCATGAAGACATGCTTCACCACAGTAACACATATGTCAGGAGCTCCAAGTCCGCAATCACTGCAGAAAAATATAGAATAATCCATGCAGACAAGACACCTGCTGGCCAGCATTAGTGATGTACAATCCACCAACTACTGATGAAGTAGCCGTCCTGATTGTGAATGAAGAACATGATAAGCACGACATTGTGTTGCAGCAATGTGACAACAAACTCAAACAAGTGTGTCAGACTAACAGGGCATACAATGCCCTCCAGTACACAATCATATTCCCATGTGGTGAAGATGGCTACCGTTTCCAGATATGGTAAACAAATCTCAGCACTGGACAGCCGAGGCCTGACAAAAAGATGTCTGATATGGCTCTTTATCCGCGTGGGTTGATTCAATGTGAAGGCAATTACAACATCCTTCTGCATGCAAAACACAGCTGCTATCAATTCAGACTTGAATGTCAAGATCGAAGCTGAGAGACTTCTTTTTTCCACTTGAACCAGAAGAAATTGGGGCTGAGGAGTTGATTAATTTCTGGGACGCACTTATAAACG